TTTTTTTTTTTTTAATTTTAGTAGAGACAGTGTTTCACCATGTTAGCCAGGATGGTCTCGATCTCCTGACCTCATGATCCGCCCGTCTTGGCCTCCCAAAGTGCTGGGATTATAGGCATGAGCCACCACGCCTGGTCTCTTTATCCCTCATTTATTCAATACTAGAATATTCAAAGTCCCGTGTCAGGTTTTTTTTGTTTCTTTTTTGTTTTTTGTTTTTGAGCCAGAGTCTTGCTCTGTCACCCAGGGTGGGGTGTAGTGGTGTGATCTCAGCTCACTGTAGCCTCTGCCTCCCAGATTCAAATAATTCTCCTACCTCAGTCTCCCAAGCAGCTGGGAGTACAGGCATGCACCACCATGCCTGGCTAATTTTTGTATTTTTAGTAGAGACGGGTTTTTGCCATGTTGGCCAGGCTGGTCTTGAACTCCTGACCTCAAGTGATCCACTGGCCTCGGCTTCCCAAAGTGCTGGGATTACAGTGTGAGCCACCGTGCCTGGCCAAGAATAAAAATCTTCACCACCAGCCTGGCTTATGTGAAAATGGAGCCCAGTGAGAATAACCAGGTTCCCCTGGTTCCCCTCTGCAGGCTGACTTTGCTGTAGAGGCTTTGGCCAAGGCAACATATGAACGCCTTTTCCGCTGGATACTCACCCGCGTGAACAAAGCCCTGGACAAGACCCATCGGCAAGGGGCTTCCTTCCTGGGGATCCTGGATATAGCTGGATTTGAGATCTTTGAGGTACAGCTTGGTGGGATCGTAACGGCCGTGGTCTTGGTTCTCTGAGATGGGGCTTTTTCTTGGAGGAATCATGACTTTGGAGAAAGTCATGTAGATGGCTACGGTAGGGTAGGAGGCTGTCTAGTTAAGGGTGGATCCTTGAGGGTGTAAGAGACAGAAATCCAACAGGAAATGCATTGGTAGAAGGCTGTCTAGTTAAGGGTGGATCCTTGAGGGTATAAGAGACAGAAATCCGACAGGAAATGCATTGGTTTCTAGAACTGAGAAGGCCAGACATGCAGCTGGATCCTGTAGGCAGAGTCTGATCTTCCACCATCTTTCTCTCTCTTTCTCTCTGCCTTCCTCCATTTTGACTCCATTCTCAAGCAGGCTCTCCCCTCATGGTGGCAAGATGGCTGCCAAAGCTCCAGACTGCCTCTCAGTAATCCTGGCAAAAAAAAAAAAAATCTCTTTTCTAACAGTTCCAACCAAAATCTTGGAATTAAGTCTGAGTCTTACCCACCTGAATTGGCTACATGGTCACCTCCAAGCCAAGAATTGTTTGCAGGAGCTTGCAACTACCTCATGTAGTAGAAATATGGATAATGGATCCCACACCCATGGGCTCGAGGAAAGTTCTCAGAGAAACGGAAAGGGTTTTTTTGTCTTGTTTTGTTTTTTGAGACGGAGTCTTGCTTTGTTGCCCAGACTGGAATGCTGTGTCACAATTTCATCTCACTGCAGTCTCCATCTCCTGGGTCCAAGCAGTCCTCCTGTCTCAGCCTCCTGAGTAGCTGGAACTACAGGCGCATGCCACTATGCCCAGCTAATTCTTTTTTTTTTTTTTT